ACACACACACACACACACACACACACACACACACACACACACACACACACACACACAACGCAGCATTCTCATCTGTTTGTCATTACTGGTGTCATTTTCTGGTTGCTAACAAACGCCATTGTAAAACATAAACACTGATGTTCCGCTGTAACGGTGGTGGACTCATCAGAACAGAGTGGGCATTGAACAATGTAAATCTATTCTAGTATACCTCAACAATGGAATTATGATTAGCAGAAATGGCCATGTCATGGGACCTTTAACCATTTCATAAATACCAGTTGTCTATATATTGAAGTAGAAGCTACAGACATGTTCAGAGTCAAGAACGATGAACTCTTCTTCCTCCTCCTCTTCATCCTCCACTTCCCCTTCCTCCTCCTCCTCTTGCGGCGGCTCTTGATCCTCCATGTCTTCTGATGTGTTAAGGTGTGAGGGGTGAAGTGTCAACGGCAACTGGGCAACATTTTCTTGCACTGAAAGAAAACAAGAAAAAAAAATGTGATCAATCAGCAAGAGGTACATTTGTAAATATTTTTGTTTTTTCACCTCCATATATGGACAGTCCCTTTAGAAAGAATACATTTCCTGTAGCCAATCTGAATCAATTCAAAGGTAGTAATGTTTAATACAAAGGCATCCTAAGCAAACCAGGTTAAATTTGCAGTTTTACACTTGTTCCTGTATGTCAGTTCTGATTTCCCAGCTTTACTTGATAATTTAAGCTTGCTTAGGATAATAAATGATATTGTATTGAACTGTGCTATGCTGTGTCACACTGTGTTTCTTTGCGCTCGACTGTAAATCCCAAACAGGGCACCAGATTCTAACCATTTACCAGCCAAAAAATGCTGCCAAAAAATACAATGGTATTTGTTCGGAGACTGTTACAATTTCCTCCTTTACTAGCCATTTGGTCAAAGGACTAAATGGGTTGAAAGTGCACCCTGTGTGTGACTGACCTGAATTTGTGGCTGCAGGGAAGTCATCCAACCCAGTGTGGACAGGCTGACGCTGGGGGGTCGTGTCATCAGGCTCTGGTCCTGACTGATTCTGTGAGACACTCTGGGACACATAAAGAAAGCATTTATTTGGTTCTATGTAGCTACACGTTTTAGACTATACATGTAGCATTCGCTGTATCATAGGGCTAATGTAGTAGGCAACTTTGGCTATCCTAGGCTTGTACTTCTTAACAAAATCCCAAAAACAAAATAACTAAAATTAGCACTTGGAAAAAAAGATGACATAAATATCCCCACGTCTGAAAAGGGAGGCGAAGAAGGAACAGAGAGAGAAAATGAATTTGTTTATTCCTCATTCATACATTCCTACCTGTGTAGCGGCTGGGGCCCCACGGTCCTCTGCTCCTTCCTCGCCTCCATCCTGCAGCTCGCTCACCTCTTCAGTTTGCCTCGAGTTTTCCGGCCTCACCTCCTCCTCCCCTGCTCCCTCACCACCCTCACCTCTAGTGCTCTGCATTGGACCTGTAATGAAGAACACAATGTTAGTTATGTTAGCATACTAGCTGTTATGCTAGTCTCTAAAGTTTGAAGTTTGACAACTAAGTAACAGAGACATTTTGTAACGTTACCTCTACTACAGCATGATATGACATAAACACTGTAGCAAAATCGCTTTACGTTTATGTGGTGCAAAAAACACTAAACCCTCGAAGCCAATATTAGCACCTAGCTTAGCGTTAACCTGCTAGCCCCGCATAAAGGTTAATGTTAGGTTAGTTAGGGTAACGTCACTGGTGAGTGGAGCAGAGGTTGAGGGTAACAATAACCCACAGTTACAACAGCTAGCGTTTCAACAGGTGAATGCTAACGTCAGCTACAAATGAAAGAAATACAACATATAACAGAATAACATTTGACTGATATTTTTTGGTTTATGTTGACCCCCAGTTTAAAGCTAGTCACTTACCACCGTAGCACTATCAATGACAACCCAGCGAACTGATGTCGCTAGGCAACCATAAACATCCAGAAGAGGAGGTGCAGTGCTCACAAAGGCCAGAGTGTGTGCGTAATGAGGAATGTATATTTGATTATTTGTAATAACTGTATATTACATATAAAACCGCTTTAAAAATGTTTAACTGTTTTATAATGTCTCCATTTATCTGTCAGTGTGTGACACGTGTGTTATCTCTCTTTCTATATATAATAAAATATTGCAGGACATACACACTACAAAGGGCTTTAAATCAATCTGGAGTAAATGCAAAGACCAGATCTGTATCACAGAATACAAAATCTGAAGCAAAAGACCAAAAAGGCTTTCATTGAAACATTTATTTTTGCTCTATAAATAAGGCAGATACACATAATCACTGAATTTGGCCTTACAATAAACACATCTTAAAAAGTCATTAATATTCACAGATACAAATCATGACAATCTTCATATATCCTCAACAATCTTATTTCATTCTGTTTATTTCAAAGAAGTAGACAAAATACAACCGTAACCCAACTTGTGTAATCATTCAAATACAAATACTTAACGTAAAATAACCAAGGCATTAAGAGAAAGACAATCCATTTCGTGTTACAGTGCTTTAGTATCTTAAGAGAGCAAAACAAAATGAAAACAAGGTAATAATTCCTGTAAACAATGTTAATTCAGGTCTGATGGCACATTCGTAAATGTTACCCCACAGGATGTGCTCCTTTGAGAAGGGAGATGTGGCATGCCTATTCAAAGGTCTTTGGTTTAATGAGAAACATGACACGGTTCAATTTTTAGAATGGGAACCTGCAGTTGAGGCTACATTCTTCACAAAATTGTATTTACTTTACACTACGTACCTTAACTTCATCCAATTGTTGTACACGTACAGTATGGCAGGTAGTTCTTTTTAAAGCACTGTCACAAATCAAATGTAGTCATTTAAATTAACTTCAAACAATACCATCATCAACATTAACACAATTAACTAGAAATGATGTATAGATAAATACACCACCTATTACTTCATATGATTGAATGACACAAATGGAAAAAACAAGCATGATGACATGGTGTTTATATGGAAACCCTGAGAGGCAAGAGTACAAAAAAAAAAGGTTTTGCAAGGATAATAATTCTTAGTTTCTTAATTTTTTTTTTTTAATCTCTAAAACCATGGGGAAGGAGATTGTGTTTTTGTAATACTCATTGTGGCCACAAGAGGCTGAACGGCACCAATACGCCATTTTCTCAAGACCAAATTAATGTTATCATAGCTGTCCATTTTCTCATGCACTCTATCAAAATATATTAGAATGCATTGAGAAATAATACATACAAAAAATATCCTTATAATCTTTTTTCACTGCCAAACTTTTGACGTTTTCAAAAGAAAATGATCCTCCTCACACGTGACCTGACACATTACCCCCCCCCACCTCAAATTATTTTTAAAGAAGTTTAGAAAGATTTTCCTGATAACACCTGTTCAATAGTAACACACACAGGACAGATGTAAATGGATCACCACATTTTCTTGTCACTTGCCTCTCAGGAACATGGTCAACATAAGACAAAACGGGTATTTGTGCAATTATTAAAAAAGAAGCCAAAAGCATCCACACATACATTCAATAAACATGTTAGAGGTCTCATAATTCTTATCAGACATACACTTTTATAGAACATCTCACCATAGTTAACCTTGTGTTTCTATCATTGCACTTATTGTGTTATGTCATTAGTATGGAATTTACATAGTGAATGACACTTTTCCTAGGTAATGTATGCTTGCTCTTGTGCATCATTTCCACATGAATAAGGGCATCATTGGCATAAAACAAGGGGGTGTTGGCAGATGAATGGTGGGTTCACAGCACAAATAAATACTGTTAACTGTAAACACCTGAACAAAAACCACTTACATTAAGACAACTACATGTTGTAAGAAATCGAACATCAAGTATATAAGCTTTTCCGATCTTTGTTCATTCTCATTCATTCAATCATTCAATATGAAAATCCTTCTAATCATATTGTAAAACTGCTTTGACTGTATTTGTATAATAAACGGGCTACTATCTTAGCAGAAACTTGTCGTTTGCAGGCTGTAAGGTATCTGGTGAATGCTTCCACATCATGTTCATAGCAAGTTATATATTTACTGTACCCATACACTCCCCTTATTAACTTCAACCGGCTGAGCCAAACATGACTCTTCACATATCAGTCCTATTCAATAGGTTCTTACAGGTTTATAAATCCTTCAAAGACACATCACCTTTTCCCTCTGGCACAATAAATCCTGCTGAGCAGAGCAGCGAGCAGCAGTTTGTCTGTAGTGTTTGCTTCGTCGACTCCACCTTAACCCTTCAAAACTCATAAGGCTACCTCTGACCCCCCACCACAGGAATGGATTTGTGTTACAGTTGCGGCTTCGGCTCCCATTTTGAGGGTTCACAAGCTGGAGGAAATACTGTAAACAATCTTCAGGGCTGGCAGGTGTTATCCTTCTCTGGATGGGAAGGCTCAGGGTCCACTGCGAGGCCCTCTGCGGGCCCGCCGGCCGAGCGTGGGTCCATGGCGGAGTGCATGACAGTCAGCCACACATCGTCCATGTTTGGCATTACAAAGATTTTCTATGAGGAGGAGAGAGACCCATGAATTCAGAATTCAAATTCAAAGGCTATATATCATATTCATAATAGCAACAGCCCAATGAAAAGCGGAAGTCCTAGATCCCTCCAATAGTGCACAAATATATACATCATAAATAAATAAATACATACAATTCTGCAATAAAAAAGACTAATAGACATAATGGTGCAAGTTAGTTGCAAGGTGAAGAAAAATATATACATATAAAATAGAATAGATAAACACATAATGTAAGGTGCAAAACTGTACCCTAAAAACATTTATGTAACGTACTGTAAGATGTAAATAAGTTGATATGTTGAATAAAAAGATGAACAGTGTATTTGATGGATAAAGTTGAGATGTGAGATGGCACATTTATTTGGAGTTTTTAACATTTGAGCTTGTAATCAGTATTTACAAGATGAATAGAAAATATGACGCCACTTTATTTATAACAGCAACATTTCAGACAAAATGCAATACGTTTAAATGGAACTGCGGCAGTTAATCACAAGATGTACTCAACTTTGGAAATATTTGATATATATGTATATCATATATTTCCTGATGGATTTATATTATATTAGATGTACTCTATGTTTTCTAAATTGGGAAGTGTTTTTGTTACTGAAGCATGTTAACAAAGCATTTCACATGAGTTAAAAACAACAGGATTTGTATACATATGAACTGTAAATAAAAAGGGGTAAAAAATGTATTCAAACACCGGGATCAGCTGCAGCAGGCTGCCTCCTATCACAAGTACTGTGCCTCTGAATTACATAGCCCTAAATATAGTGTCAATACCTGGAATTCCTGGTCCAGTTTCTTCTCGATCCAATCTGTAACGTGAGCCAGAGTCACGACTCTCTCTCCCAGCTTAGGCCGTGCCTTCAGCTCCAGGTGAGGCGGCTTCCTGAAGCCATACCTGCGACAGAAAGGGTCACAACGATTTATTATTTCATTACAAGCAACAGGTGACACATGTAGACCTAATAGAAATAGAAATCAAAGCCGGTCAATATTTAGAAAATGTCTAAGGTCAAAAACCTTAAAATGTATTAACCTTGTCACGACATCCGGTTAGTTTTCAGTTAGATGCCTGAAATAAGGTCTGTGGTTAACACAAGCCTAAGAGATTTCCCCATTTTATTCTACAACATGAAATACTTCAGTAAACCCCCCTTGTGAACATCTGAAGCTTCTACGTGTCATAAAAACAGCAGTTGATAACAAGTGTTTAAATGAGACCGCTAAATGTTATCACAGCAAACATCAGCCGCCTTTAGCTCAGCGGTGTTGACGCGCAGTTATGAGACCATTAATTTCGTTTGTTTATAGCCACTGTTCGAAATGGGGGGAGCCAGGGGGAGCTTGGCTCCCCCGAAGAGGGAGGGAGCTCCCATGAAGGCCGACTTTGAGATAAATAGGGGGAGCCCAAAAGAATCGTGCATATTTGTGTCACACAGATTAGAAATGTTGAGTTTCTGTAAATAAAAGTTCTTGAAATAAATAAGTCATTGTTCATTACAGTTTCTGAATATTTCTGGGTGTTGCCATCTGTACGTGGAGGCGCTGCATTCTTTACGCTACTTACGTTGCTATGGTTACGGCGCGGTATTTGAAATGTTCACATTGATATTTTTTTTAACTCTGGCTTTGTAATAA